GATGCCTTTCACTGTCCCAGGTTGCTCCAAGCCCTGTCCAACCTGGCCTTGGACTCTTCCATGGATGGGACAGCCCCAGCTTCTTTGGGCAGCCTGGGCCAGGGCCTCACCACCCTCACAGGGAGGAATTCCTTCCCAGTATCCCACCTATCCTTGCCCTCCAGCAGCGAGAAGCCATAGTCTGTTTCTCCAGACCCTTGTCCCAAGTCCCTCTCCAGCTCTCCTGGAGCCCCTTTAGGCACTGGAAGGGGTTCTAAGGTCTCCTCAAAGCCTTTTTTTCTCCAGGCTGGACACTCCCAGCTCTCCCAGTCTGTCTCCAGATAAGAGGAGCTCCAGCCCTCAGAGCATCTCTTGGCCTCCTCTGGACTCACTCCAAAAGCTCTGTGCCCTTCTGATCTTGGGAGTCTTCTGGCTTCCCAGCCAAGCCCTCCTTGAACCTCAATGGGGTACTCCTCCCTGGAGCCAGCACGGAGCTGCTCATGCTCCCAAGATTCCATCCTCACCTCTTGTTCTTTGCCTGAGCCAAGCACATCCTGTCGTGGTGAGACCATGAGGGGCCCTTCCCAGGACATACCTCTGAAAATAACTGCAGGCTGGGGAAAGCTGGCCCCTTACAAAGACTAAACTTGGGCAAATGCATTTCCATGTCTCCTCTGCCAGGGACTGATGTACCAGCAGCTGCCTCTCCTCTCCTCTCCTCTCCTCTCCTCTCCTCTCCTCTCCTCTCCTCTCCTCTCCTCTCCTCTCCTCTCCTCTCCTCTCCTCTCCTCTCCTCTCCTCTCCTCTCCTCTCCTCTCCTCTCCTCTCCTCTCCTCTCCTCTCCTCTCCTCTCCTCTCCTCTCCTCTCCTCTCCTCTCCTCTCCTCTCCTCTCCTCTCCTCTCCTCTCCTCTCCTCTCCTCTCCTCTCCCTTTTGTTTGGAATCTGCTCTGGGCACAGCAGGGTGACTGTGCCCACCTTCCGCCTGCTAAACAAGCAGCCAGATCAATAACTGCCATTAAACCAGCCATTTTCCACCCCAAAATGAGCTGTGGGGCTTTGGGGGCAGGAAGTGAGACCCTCACTCCACCTCCAGATTAATTTTCCCCATCCCCAGCTCTGTCCCCAGCCCCATCCCTTGCTCAGTGCTGGAGTGAGTGCTTGGATTCCAGGCAAGAAGCTCCCAGTCTCCTTTGCCTTTTAAGGCAACATTTGAGTGGGTTAGATGGTTACAAATGCTAACAAGCCATGGCAATGCTCATTTTAGTCTATTTAGAGGAAACGGGAAGGCATTTCAGTTCATCAAAACACTGGTGATTAATCAACCGACTACCAGGCTGTTTTCATTAGGCTTATTTTTAAAGGTCTGACATGCTGTGTAAAAATATTCCCCTAATAAATGTGCTTGTGGCAGAGGGAATGGCACAGAGTGCATGCAGCAGCACTGGTTTCCAGGTACCCAAGGTAAATATGCCTTGGTGGGCAGAGAGAAATGAGCAGGCAGGACTCAGGATAGCCATGAAGAGGGGACAGCTGGCCCTGGGCTGCAGGAGAAGCTGTGCTGGTGGCCATGGGGGCAGCCAGGGGTTCCAGAGCAAGGGAACGGTGCTTATCTCTCTCCTGAAACACAGCTCTGCCTCCGAGCTCCACTTCCAGTTGCACTTCCAGCCTGTAGGTGAGGACTTTGGAATTATCACCAGTGTGGGCTGGTGACACCTGAGGCTGGCTGCTGCAGCATGTGCTGGGCTGGTGGGACACACTGAGAGCCCTGGGATGGTGGAAAGGCAGGAGGAGACAAGGACATGTTCCCTCTTGGGCACCCATGCGGCCTCAGGCAGAGCCTGGAGCAGACCTGCTTTGGAGATGACCCCAGGCTCCAGCAAGGGATGGAGCTGGGCCACAGTGACCCTTGGTTTTAGAAACACAGATCTGGTTTCTTGCCTGAACATTTTTTTCCTCCCGATTCCTGTCCCTCTGCAGCCACTGGAGCTGGGTGCGTGCCAAGTGCTCTCCCAAGGCAGTTCCACAGGAGATGAAGCAACTTGAACCCCTCTCATCCCCTGCAACCATCCAGCACTTCTTCAATAACCTGCATCTCTTAGATGGGATCTTCTGATGCATCCCAAATTTGCTGTAAGCAAATGATCCCACAAGTGCTACGCACAGTGGCAGAAACACCCATGATGGTCTCTGCATATCTGTTGCATTCCTTTGTTCCTGTGCCTGGGGCCACAGCTGGCTCCTTTTCCCCCAGCTTCTTTCCCCTGACTTCTCCCAGCTCTCTTTCTCCTGATTCCTTTTCCCTCACCTCTTTTCCCACATCCCATTCTCTGGCTCCCGGTCTCTCCTCCCCCAAACTGCAGCACGTGGATATGTGGTCACACATCCATGAATGGAAGCTTGAACCACATAACAGTACATACCCAGCATGTGCTGCAGCACCTTTCCCAAGTAGGGATTTTCCATGGATTTAATTTTCTTCTATTTTAATTTGCTTGGAGTAAACCATCACCTTCTTCAAGCATGGGAGAGGTTGCTGGTCATTTTCACCAGGGTCTTTCTCTGTCTCTCCAAGTTCTGTTCATCCCTGGCCAAAGCCTTTGCTCCTCTTTGTCTTGGATGTGCCCAGGGTGCTCAGGGGAGATTCAGAGCTCACCAGTGTTAGGCTGGGTGAGCTTGGGCTGGGAAGGAGAAAGATTTCTGGAGCAGTTGGCATGGAGATGAGGCTGCTGGCTCTGACTCGATGGGTGCTCAGCCTGGGGTCACCAAAATGTCACAGAGCCCTGAGGAGGATAAATGTTCCTTCTCAGAGGAACCTGCAACCTGGGCACTCCCAAACACCTTGGGGAGGCCCTGTTGGGTACCAGCAGGGCAACACCAGTGTCCTCATCCCAGAGGCCTCCTGCCAGGGCTCTTCCTCCACTGAGGTGCTTCAGGATGTCACTGACCATCTGTGCACCATTCTGGTGCTGAGAATAGACCACAGCTTGGTGAGAAGGACCCCTGGCTCAGTGCCAGAGGAGGTGGCATCACCTGCTCCCTGCAGCACCTAGGACTGGGGTGCATGGGAGCCCCATCCCTGTTCCCTAGGGTGGCAGCAGTAGGGACTGTGGGGACTATGGGGCCCCCAGGCCGGGCCAGGCTCTGTAGGGGTCTGGCAAGAGCCTTCCTGTCCCTGCTCAGCCCTGCGCCAGGAGCCAAGAAATCGCTTAACTAAACAAACAGCTCTCTCGTCCCTGATGGCATCTGTTTATACACCAGGTACAAACAGTCCCCAGGACTGCCCATGCACAGCCAGTTCTTTCCACAAAAATCTGTCCCTGAGGGCTGGCAGTACTGCATGTGGGGAAAGTTCAGCCTTATGCTGCCCCAGCATGGACACTGTGGAGCACCAGGATGAAGAGGAGGAGGCCAGCCTGACTGCAGACTGTGGTGTCAGGATTCAGATCTGGGGGTTCCAGGCACTGGGTGAAGCCACAGTGCTGTCCTGATCATGAGAGGATCCAGGGAGATTGTAAAGGCATCACAGCTGCATCTCCCAGAGGCATCTTCTTTCCTCCTTTCCCTGGAGTCCTAAAATCCCTCCAGCAAAGGTGATGAGCCAGGCCAGTGCTGAGGACCTGTGTGTTCCCTAGCTGTGGAGGAGGGAGAAGGGCATTTAAATTGCCAAACCTTGATGTGAAATTTATGGTAGTATCCTCCACTATGCAGCAAACTTGGTCCCAGTGTCAAGTTCATCTCCCTTCAGCCACCTGAAGCATTGGTTCCTCTCCCTTGGGAATGGATGTGTTTCATGTCATGGAGTCCCAGACTAGTTTGGGTTGGAAGGAACCATAAAGTTAATCCCAGTCCACCCCCTGCCATGTGCAGGGACACCTTCCACTATCCCAGGTTGCTCTAAGCCCTGTCCAACCTGGCCTTGGATACTTCCAGGCATGGGGCAGCCCCAGCTTCTCTGGGCAGCCTGTGCCAGGGCCTCACCACCCTCACAGGGAAGAATTTCTTCCCAATATCCCATGTAACTCTGCCCTCTGGCAACTGCCAGAGAACCATATCAAAGGTTGTACCAATGCTGATGGAGACCCCTCCCAGCCCTTCAGCCTCGGTTGAAGGCTGCAACAAGGCATTGGCTGTGTCCCCAAGCTGCTGGAGTTGGCTATGGCCAGCAGCAATGCCCAGGACAGGCTGTACCAAGGGTAAGGGTCACATGCTTGTAAAAATGGCCAAAATTTCCTTCTGACCTTCCCCCAGACTCTCCAAGCCCTTCCTTCTTTTGATGTCTTTGGACACTGGGAGCAGATATGCTGGGAGTACCTCATGCATTAGAAAGCTATAAATGCCATTCTCTCATTTCCTCGGTTTTCTGCTCAAAAGTGCAAACTGCCATTGAAGGGAGAATGGTTTTGCAGAACCCAGGGTTGGAGTGACTGCTGGGTCAGCAGTGTCACTAAGGACACTGCTGTGGGCTCTCCCCTGCTTGCACACACATCCAGGACAGTGTGGAGAATGTTGGGCTACAGACTGGGAAAAGCCACCAAGCATCCAGCCGTTCCTAACCATTTAGGAAAGGTGGGAAAGCACCTGGGGCTCACAGGGAGACTGGCACTACCTCCATCCCTAGTTAGAAAAATGATTTAAAAATTGTAACTTAGAGGGGGTATCAGAGAAGGTGCTCCTACACCTTGTTAGTTTATGGCCTGTCAGGGAGGGTGTCCTGCAGACCTCCAGAGCCCTTTGGGAGGGGGGGCTGAGGCAGAAGGAGAGCAGAGCTGCCTTAGAGAGCTGCAGCAGGACCTCATCACACCTGGGTCCTGCAGGCTCTGCCTACATTCAAGGCACTCACATGCTGAACCCTTCCCTGGAGCTGGGACCTCAGCTGGGCCAAACATTCCTCTTCAAAGGCCAGCCACAGGCTGCAGGATGTTCCCATGTGACAGAGGTCAGTGACCGCAGGACTGGGGTGGCAAGTCTGTAGGTCAGAGGCACCTGTTTCTGTAATTCCCAGGTGTTTTTCTCCCACTAGGAAAGCAGGTTGAGCAAGAATGAGGGAGACAAAAATCAAGAAGAAAAAGGAAAAGAATCTCCTTCCAAAGAACTGGCCCAGAAACAAGATGCTAAAGTGGGGAAAGACTCGAAAAAGGAAGAAAGTGCTCAGAAAACAGACCTGAAAGGTAAAGCTGAGACTGAGACCAAGAGCAAAGAGAACAAAGCTATGAATGATAAAGTAAAGGCCATGGAAAAAAAGCTGATGGGGAAGGACAAGAAGGAGGAAGAGAAGGGTTCAGTGTTGAAGAAGGACACAGGGAAGAACAAAAAGGAGGAAGAGAAGAGCTCAGAGTTGAAGAAAGATGCAGGGGAGGATAAAAAGGAAGAAGAGAACAGCTCATGTTTTAAAAAGGAGGATGCAGGGAAGGATAAAAAGGAAAAAGAGAAGGTCTCAGCAGCAAAGGAGGAGACAGAGAAGGAAAAAAAGCAAGAAGAAAAGGATTCAGCATCAAAGGACACAGGGAAGGACAAAAAGGAGGAGAACAGATCAGAATCAAAGAAACAGGCAGAAAAAGACTTAAGAGGGGAAGGTAAAAAAGAAAATGATAAAAAAGAAGAGGAAAAGGCTTCAGCTGTGAAAAAATCCAAGGCAGATGAGAATGATAAATCCCAGACAGAAGCAGAAAAGGCAGAAAAGGTGGAAGAGAAACAGGAGGCCAAGGCAGCAGCCGGGAGCAGCCCTTCCAAGTCTTCCTCCAGCAGCTCTGCAGATCAAGCCAAGGATGATGAAGCCTCCAGCATCTTTGACGAGCTCATCGAGAAGGTGAAGAACAATGACGCTGAGGTGACCGAGGTCAACGTGAACAACTCTGACTGCATCAACAACGAGACCCTGGTGCGCTTCACTGAGGCCCTGGAGTTCAACACTGTGGTCAAGGTGTTTGCCCTGGCAAACACCCGCGCTGATGACCACGTGGCCTTTGCCATTGCCATAATGCTCAAGTCCAACAAGGTGCTGACAAGCATCAACTTGGACTCCAACCACATCACAGGCAAGGGTATCCTGGCCATTTTCCGGGCCCTGTTGCAGAACAACACACTGACAGAGCTACGTTTCCACAACCAGCGGCACATCTGTGGGGGGAAAACAGAGATGGAGATTGCCAAGCTCCTGAAAGAGAACACCACACTCCTGAAGCTGGGTTACCACTTCGAGCTGGCTGGGCCACGCATGACTGTCACCAACCTGCTGAGCCGAAACATGGACAGGCAGAGGCAGAAACGCCTCCAGGAGCAGAAACTGGCACAGGAACGGGGGGAGAAGAAAGACCTCCTGGAGGTGCCCAAGCCTGGAGCACTGCCAAAGGGGTCCCCCAAGGCATCCCCGCAGCCATCCCCCAAGGCTTCCCCCAAAAGCTCTCCCAAGAAAGGAGGGGCACCCACCATACCACCCCCACCTCCTCCTCCACTTGCCCCACCACTGATGATCAACGAGAACCTGAAGAACTCTCTCTCGCCAGCCACACAGAGGAAGTTGGGAGACCGGGCGTTGCCAGTCCAGGAGAAGAACTCTCGAGACCAGCTCCTGGCAGCCATTCGCTCCAGCAACCTCAAACAGCTCAAGAAGGCAAGTGCAGGGCCAGGTGGGGCCCATGCACAGGGTGGGGCTGGGGGCTGAGGTCATAGTGGCTGTCACTCAGGCAGTGTCCTTCTCTGGAGTGGGGTTGTGTCCAACTCCTGCACAGGGGCAGATCCATCCCTTTGCCAAGCATATGGGGAAGGAAGATCCATCCTTTAATGCCATCCTGCAGAGCAGATGAGGTCAGCAGGTCCATCCTTTGGCAGAGCATCCAACAGGAGATCCATCCCTTGGCAAAGAGCATGACAGGTGCAGATCTATCCCTTGGCAGAGCTCCTGTGTTGGGCAGATCCATCAGGATCCAGGGGCTGGGACACAAGGAAAAACCCATCCATAAGTTATAACTCACTGGGCTCTTGATATCTTGTTGTGGCTGAGCCCATGCCCCTGGGGTCGAAGGTGGCCCAGGATGGCTGGAGAGGTTTCATCTGCCTTTAAACAACTGAGACATTTCTTGGTGTCAGCCCCAGTCTGGACTTGACTAATCCTTTTGAACTCTTTACATATGAGTGAATGTTGATCTGAGGGTACTGATACAGCACTTGGGGACCAGCAGAGATGTGTGGCCAACTTCTCAAACAGCTAGACTTAGCCAAGGGTGGCCTGGATGCTTGAAAGCTGTGGCAGCAACTGCCCTCCTAATACAGGAGGCCCATAAATTCACCCTTGGGCAGCACATTGTCAAGTATGTACCCCATGCAGTAATAACTGCTGGAATAAAAGGGCCTAATGCTGGTCCCAGCATGGAGCCTTGAAACCTCTCACACACTCCAGGTGGTTTGTGTCCCTGCTGGGCTGTCCATGGGCAGCCTGGCCAAGAAAAAGAGGTCATTGAATGGTTTGGATTGGAAGAGACCTTGGGGATCATCTCTATCCTGTCATGGGCAGGGACACCTTCCACTAGCCCAGGTTGCTCCAAACCGCATCCAACCTGGCCTTGGGCACTTTCAGGGATGGGACAGCCCCAGCTTCTCTGGGCAATCTGTGCCAGGACCTCCTCACCTTCACAGGGAGGAATTTCTCCCCAGTAGCCCATCTAACCCTGTCATGGATGTCCCTACACCATGTCAGTGACAGTCCTGCACCCCGTCCCATTGCTTGCCCAGTAATGGGGTGTGCTTCCCTGCAGGTGGAGTTGCCGAAGCTGCTGCAGTAGGGAGCGGGAGGATTTTTCCCCTGCAGCCCATGGCAGACCCCCAGACACTCACCTTTCTCGTGACAAGCCCTTTGGAACCTGCAGTGACCGACGCCAAGGAGCAGGGATCTCTCTGGGACACGGAGGATGGGCCGGGCCCAGCAGGACATGATGGAGGAGGTTGTATTTATTTTTTGATGGTTGTGAAGCCTTCAAGCTCACTCTTCTACCAACACTGTGCCCCACTGGAGATGCCAAGAATAGAGCAGGGGTCTGCAGAGCTGATCCTTATGGAAATCCCCCATCAGAGCATAACAAAGGGGTTTGGCACCCCACTCTATCCAGGGTCCAGCCTGGGGTGAGCAAGAGTACCCCCAGCCATGGGGGGGAGCAGGGGATACCCAGACCATCATCACATCACCACAAGGTTTCTGGGTGGCCAGCAGAGTTTTGGGATTCAGGCACAGCAGTGGCTGCAGAGCTGGGGGTTCAGGCTTGACGTCAGGAGGAATGGGAGGGTGGGAGAAGGGAGCAGCCAGGGAGAGAGGGGGCATGGAAGTGGTGGGACACAGGGAGCCAGGCTGGGGCCAGGAGTTCAGGCATCTTGTACGCACCCACAGTACTGCAGGGGGACCCCCAGAACTCTCAGAGCATGGAAACCAAATCCACCTCAGAGAGAGCAAGGAAAGCACCAGCTCAAGGGGGGTAGTGGGTTTTGGGGTCATGTGATGCCCATCCTCCTCCCCCCATCCTTCCTGTCGTGACACCTTGATCACGATTTGTCTGACTGTGGCCACTGCATCAGCAATAAAGCTCACCCAAATGCTTCCTGTGCCTCTGGACAGGTCCATGCCCCCAGACCCCAAATTGAGGCGCAGGGGGTGTCTGGGAATGGACTCAGCAACCTCAGCCAGGGGCAGTTTTTCCCTCTCCCACACCCATAGCCCACCCTGAACTGGGCACCCTGGGACACCTGGACAACCTAACCTGGGTGTCCCTGGTCACCCACTCAGAACCCCTGCAAATGGGGCACCCAGGACCCCCCAAATGGGACAGCCAAACCCCGCAAATGGGGCACCCTGCTGCTGCTGGACACAGACAACCAGGCACCCAGAGCCATGCAGACACCCCAAAACTCTGGAGTCATGAAGAACTGAACACCCCAGGACCACCCCACAGTCACCTAAAACCCTTTGAGTACACCCAGAACTGGGAATCCTGGGGCTGCCCCAGGGTCACCCCGAACTCCAAGGTAATCCGAAACTTCGTGCCTCAGGATCACCCTAAAACTCCGGGGTGACCCCAAAACTGAGCACCCCAAATCCCCGGGGTCACCCAGAACTGTTCTCCCCCCTGGCACCACGGGGCGGGGGCCGTTTTGGGGATGCAGCAGCACACGGGTGTCCCCTGGGAGGCTCCCCCTGCTCCGGGACACCCACGTGCGTGGCTGAGAGGCGGCTCCCGGTACAGGTGAAACGCCGTTTTGGGGGGTATTTCTGCAGCCGCGCAGAGCCGTGGCCCCAGCGGGAGCAGTATCCGCACCACGGGGTCCTCATGCCCCTTGCCCCCGCACTCCTGCCCCTTGGGAGGCCCCTGCTAACGCGGGCACCACGGGGCCGTTGGGACATCCCACACCGAGAATCCGACCGGCCCCGGGGTGAGAGCACCAGGGGCGTCGCCCGAGCACCGACGGTGTCACTGAAACCGGGGGGCCGGGGCGGTGCGGGGCGGTGCAGCCCCCGATGGGGAGGGAGCGGGCCCGGCAGGGGGCGCCGTAACCGAGCCGGGGGCGCTGCTGTACGCGGCGGGGCCGGCAGGGGGCGCCGCTAATGCACCGGGGCCGCCGTTAACGCACCGGGGGCGGAGCGGCGCGCGGCGGGGCGGGCAGGGGCCCGGTGCAGCCCCGGCCCGTCCGGTCTCCGGTCCGTCCCGGATCCGGCTGCGGCAGCGCGGGGCGGGGGCTGTCGGGGGTGTCCGGCTCCGCTTCCCCCGCTCAGTACCGGGGAACCGGTGTAGGGCACACGGCGGCGGCGATGGACGGCCGGGCGGCGGCATGAGGCGGCGGAGGCGGCGGGGAGCATGGCGGCGGCGGGCGGCGGCGGGGCGCGGCGGGGGCTGCTGAAGCGGAAGCCGAACTTCACGTTGCAGGAGCTGGAGGTGCTGATGAGCGAAGTGCTCCGGTACGAGCCGCTGCTGTTCGGCGCCGCCGCCGGTACCGTGAACGCGTACGAGAAGCAGAAGATCTGGTGGCGGATCACGCACAAGGTGAACGCCGCCGGCCGCCACCAGCGCGACATCGGCGAGGTGAAGAACCGCTGGCGGGGGCTACGCCGCCGCGCCGGGGACAAGATCAGCCGGCACCGGCTGGAGCGGCAGGGCCCGGCCGGCAGGGCCGCCGCCAGGAACGGGAACACCGGGAGCACCGGGAATAACGGGAGCAACGGGAACGGCGCGGCCGAGCCCGGCCCGGGGCCCGCCCCCGCCCCCGTCTGGGGTCCTCGCGGCGCCGCCGGAACCGACCCTTCGATGCGCAGCGCCGAGGGGTCGGCACAGCACGGTGAATGTGCGGGCAGCGGCAGCGGGACGGGGCAGGGACACGGGGATGCTGGGCCGGGACGGAAGAGTGGAGAGACGTACACGGAGGACACGGACATGCGGGACCGGGACTAGGACAGGGGAGAGCGGGGCAGGGTCGCGGGGATGCTGGGACCGGGTTCCACTGGGACCGGGTTCCGGAGGGACCGGCACAGGTGTATGGTGGGACAGGGACATGAAGAACCAGGACACAGACATGGGGCAGGATGGGGGACGAAATAGGGGCCACGGATGAGTTGGAATGGGACCTGGAGAAATGGGTTTAGGAAGTGGGGACAAGCAACAGGTACATGGGGACGCTGGGACCAGGACATATGCATGGAGGAATTTCTCCCCAGTATGCCATCTAACCCTGGTTTCAAGAGAGACAAGGACGAGCACCAGAACATGCAGGACCAGGACATGGACATGGGAAACCAGGACACAGACACAGGGCCACTGGGACTGGGAGAGGTTGGGAGGAAGAGGGACACAAGGGGACCAGGAAGCAAGGGGATCAGGATACAGGAGACCACGATAGTGACATGGAGATACTGTGACCAAGATATGGGGGTCCAGGACACAGACATGAGTGACTGGGACTTGGATGCAAGAGAACTGAGACTGAAACAGGTCACTGGAACCAGGGGAGGTGCATGCAGGGACACAGGAGACCAGGACCAGCAAAGGGACACAGCCAGACCAGAACACAGGGGCAGGTGCATGGGGAGATGGGGATGGGGACTCAGGGGACCTGGATCAGCACCTGGAGAACCAGGATACAGGGCATCAGGACAGGGACATGAGGAACTGGGACAGGGACACAGAGGCACAGAGGCACTGGTCCCTCCAGTACAGGGACATGGAGTAACCAGGACACAGGGGACCAGGACAGAAACATGGTTCTGAGACAGGGACACAGGAGACCAGGACCAAGAGAACGGGATGAGGAGCAAGAAACTGGGAGCAAGACAGGTGTGTAGAGGGACCAGGACAGGAACACAGGAGATTAAGGCTAGGACAGGGACACTGGGACCATGCCATGGGGGACAGGGACATGGATACAGGGGACAATGGCAGGGACATGGAGGATTGGGATAGGAACATGAGGGATATGGAGGCATGCTAAGGCATCACTAGGCCTGGGAAGATACATGGAGGGACTGGGACACAGATCCAGGCAAAAAGAGCAGGGATGTGAAGGGACTGGGACCAAGATGTGGGAAAAACCAGGACCAGGACACTGGGACCACTACAGGTGAATGGAGGGACTGGGCAGGAACAGTGGGGCAGGGACACAGAGGGAACATAGAGTCAGGGCAAAGGGATACAAACGTGGAATATTGGGACAGGTGACAGGGATGTGGGAGGACCAGGACAGGGACACAGGAGACAGGGAGAGTAACAGGGGCACCTATACCAGGACAGAAGGGTACCGGGATCAGGACAAGGATATGGGTGACTGGGATTAGGGCAGGGACAAAAGGCACAGGCTACTGGGACCAGGACAGGGATAAGAAGGGGCTGGGAACAGGACAAAGATGTGGTGGGACTGGGACAGTGACATGGGGCAGGACCAAGACAGAGACAAAGAACATTCCATACTGGGACCAGAACAGGGACATGAGGGTTAGTGGGCTGAGAACTGGGACGTGGTGGTACCAGGACCAAACAAAGACATAGAGGCACCATGTTCAGGACAGGGATATGGGTGGACTGGGGCAGGGACGTGGGGGTACCAGGACCATACAGGCACATGGGGACACCACATTCAGGACAGGGGTATGGGAGTACTGGGGACAGGAGAGGGACAAGGGACAGGGGATGGGGTTGAACTATCATGAGGGACACGGAACTATGGAGATAAGTATAGATGGAACTGGGACTGGGTGCAGGAGATGGGATGTATGAGCACAGGGATGGAGACAACAGGGTCTGTCACTTGGTCCGTGGGGCACCGGGAACACGGGAGATCCCTGCAGCTGCCCTGTGCTCGCCCTCGGTCCCACAGGTGTAAAGGAGGAGCCGGTAAAGGAGGAGCCTTTGGAGGTGAAGACTGAGCCCTTCCACGGCCCCGCTGCCGACGGCGTTCCCGGCCGCCGCTCAGACTGTCGGCTGCCCCGCCCCGGCATCTGCCCGCCCAACGAGCTGTGCGAGGGCTGGAGCCGGAGCCCCCCGCGCTCCGCACCCTCCGAACTCTCCCTCGGCGACCTCCGCGGGCAGCAGGAGCCGCTGGGCTCCGACTTCCCGAGTCTGCTGTTGGAGCAGGAGGCCGAGCAGCTCAGTCACTGCGGCGCGGGAGAGGCAGGGCCCCCCGGGGGGCTGGACGGGACCCCCGAGCGCCCGCAGCTCAGCCTCGTGCAGTCCAATGAGCGGCTGGTGCAGGAGATGCGGGCGTTCCGCCGGGAATACGCCGAGAGCCGTCGGGAGACCACGGCGGTGCTGCGCGGCATCGCCCAGGCGCTGGGCGGGCTCAGTCGCAGCCTGACCGAAATCCGTGACCTCTACCTCCGGGAGCGGGGGGTCCCCAAATCCTGAGCCTCCCACGCAGCTGGCTGTGTACACACACTCCAGAACCCACGTCGCTACTTTTATTATTATTTCTTTTCCTGTCCATCCCACTTCAATAAAACTCGGAGCTGCACCCCCATGGCTCCCCCCACTCCAGGCACCTCAGAGGGTTTTTGGGGATGATGCAGAGGGCTGGGAGATGGAACAGGATGGAACAGGGGTTTGTCCTTCCAGGTGGCTCTGCCTGGCTTTTTTCTGGACTGATGGACTTTGGTCCCAAATTTAGCCAGCAGTGCTGGCAGGGATGAATCCCACCAGGAACAACCATCGAGGTAACACACCACCCACCCTCCCCCGCTTATTCCTGTCCAGGGGAGGGGGCATGGATAGAGGAATTGTTCACACGCCCACAGTCCCAATCCCGGCACAGAGTTTGCTGTTTTCTCACCCGAAAGAATCCAGGGGTGGTTTCACGCTCCGTTTTGAGTGATGGGGGCTGAGTGGGCAGCCAGCACTCCAGGCTGGCTCATCCAAGCGGCTGATTTGGTGGGAATTACCCATCCCAACACAATTTTGGGAGGGAGAAGTCTCGGGAGCAGAAGGGACAGAGCAGAATTCATGTTTCCTCACATTACAATTCGCGGGAAGGGTTTGGGGGCGTTGCCTTTCCTTTTTTCCCCATTAGAATCACCGAGACAACACCAGGCTGTGGGCACAAGACGTGGTTTAATGCCAACCCCGGAGGGAAGAGCCGGGGGTGAATCCAGGGGTAGTGTGCAGGGAGACAGCGGTGCACGGCCCTCGGAGGACCCCCTGGGAACCCCTCCGCGGGTGCTCGGGGCCACTGGCACCCAGAGCCAGGGGAGAAGGCGCCCACAAAGGGCCCAGTGTGTGGCACAAGGGCCACCCTGTTCTGCTGGCACCGGATCACCCCAGGATGGCTGGGAAGAGCCCAATCCAGCGCTGGCTAAGGCAGCCCCCCAGCGCCAGGGGGGGTCCCTGGGGTCCCCAGCCTGGGCCCGCTGGCCGGCGGCGGGTACGGGGGTCCCCGCGGGGACTCATGCTCCAGGGTAGCTGGGTTGCGCCGGGACATAGGGTGGTGGTGCTGCAGGGGGAGCAGATGCGGTGTCACCAGGCCACCAGGCCCCCCGGGGAATAGGGAGGGTTCCTGTTCCCCCCCAGTGCTCACCTGTGGGGTTGTAGACAGGGGGGCCGGAGGGGTACATGGGGTACTGGGCAGCAGGGCCAGGCGGGGGGTACATGGCCATGGGGGTGAAGCCAGGCTGGGGAGGTGTAGGGCCGGCTTTGGGGTCCACAGGGAAGGGAGCTGGTGGAGCTGCGGGGTGGTAGCTGGACAGGGGAATTTCCGGGCCTGTGGGAGAGATTGGGGAGGTCTGCAGCACCCCGACACAGGGACAGGGATGGTGCTTAAGAGTGGTGGTGGCCCTAAGGTTGGTGGCCACTGGGGTGTCATCCAGACCCTCACCACAGTGCCCAATTTTCCCCCCGCAATCCCTCCACCGTGTACCTCAGGATGTCTCCTTCTCCCCACCCCTGTACCCTACCCCTCCTCCTACACCTTCATTCCTGCAGTCCACCCCCCACCCTCCTGATCCCCCCCTTCATTCCAACAGCTCCCCTTCTCTTTGCCTCCCCTACCATTCCCCCCACCCCACACCTACAGGATTTTTCTGCTCCCTCTCATCTCTCATCCCTTCAGCTTCCACCTTTTACCCCAACACCCTCCTTGCCTCTTCCCAAACCCCTCCACTCTCTACCTACAGGACCCTCCTGCACCTCCCACCCGTATAGCCCCCACACACACAGCAATTCCCACAGGCCTCTGTCCAGGCCCCCCCAATCCCCCACCCTGTACCTACAGCATCATCATGCACCGAGCCTCCTCCTGCACCCCCCATCCGTGCATCCCCCATTCCTGCACCCTCCCATTCCCCCAGGTCCTCTTAACCCTGCACCTCCTTACCTGCAAGACCCTCTTGATCCTCTCCTCCTGCACACCCTGCATCCCCCCATCCCTACAGCCCCCCACCAGACCCCCCTTCCCCCTGAAATCCTCTAGGCCCCCTCAACCCCACTCCACCCTCTTTTCCTACAGGACCCTCCTGCACCCCCATCCCAGCCCCGCACCTTGCAGGGGTGTGCGGGAGTGCTGCCGGCGCTGGTACAAGTAGCAGCAGGAGCACATGAAGCAGCAGACGATAGTGGTGACGATGGCGATGAAAAGCACCACGGCTGAGGCGATGCCCGCGATGGTCTTGGGGCTGCGGGACCCCCGGGCGTGGGGAGCAGGGCCAGGGAGGCACCCGCAGCACACACCCCCAGCCAGCACCCACTGATAGTGCCCAGTGCCCCATGCCCAGCACCCAGTGACACTGCCCAGTGCCCAGAACCAATGCCCGGTGACATTGTCCAGCACTGCTATCAGCACCTAGTAGCAGTAGCAGTGACCACTGCCCAGCACCCAGTAGCATTGCCCACCCAGTAGCAGTGCCCAGTACCCAGTGCCAATGCCCTGTACTAGTGCCCTCTGCCCAGTGACTAGCATCCAGTGGGAGTAACCAGTGCCCAGCACCCAGTGCAAGTTTCCAGTACCAGCATCCAGCACCCAGTGCCAGCACCCAGTACCAGTGACCAATCTGCAGCATCCATCCCCCAATGTGCAGTGCCCAGTATCAGTGCCCAGTACCAGTGTCCAGCACCCAGAACCCAATACCAGCACCCAGTACCAATGCCAAGAGCCTGGCACCCAGTACCAGTACCAAGTGCACAGCACCTAGTAGGAGTCCCAACACCCACTGCAAAGCACCAATGCCCAGTACCACTGGCCAGAGACCAACAACCCAGTACCAGTACCCAACACCCAGTACCACTGCCCAGTGCCCAACACCCAGCACTCAATGCCCATCACCCAATGTTAGTGTCCAGCACCCAGAGCCAACAGCCTGGCAACCCAGTAGCACTGCCCAGTGCCCAGTATCACTCCCCAGTGCTCAGAACCGGTGCACATCCAGTAACAGTGCCCAGTGCCCAACACCCAGTGCCCCCAGCAAGTACCAGTGCAGAGCACCCAGCACCCGCTGCCACTGCTCAGTACCAATGTCCAACCCCCAGTAACAGTGCCTAGCACCCAGTACCAGTGACCAGCACCCACTACCCCACACCCACTGCAAGAGCCCAGATACCACTGCCCAGTACCCAATACCAGTGTCCAGCACTACTGCCGAGTGCAGAGCATACAGTGACCAGCACCCAGTACAACTGCCTATCCCCAGCACCCAGTACTAGTGCCTATCACCCAGTCCCAGCACCCAGGCTGCCCAGGAGAGCCCCCAGCCCCATCAGCCCCAGCTGTGGCACCTGAAGGCAAGGCAATGGCGCTGCTGGCGCTCGGTGAGCAGGCGCAGAGGGTCTCGGCAGCAGTACCGCTGGTGGCACGTGCCGCAGCAGAAGGTGAAGAACTCGCAGTCGAAGCCAGGGTGCCATGACCCGTTTCTGTCCACGTACCACAGGCAGTCTTCACCCCCGGCCACTGTGGATAGCCACCCACCACCAGGGCCTTGGAGCACCTCGCCATCACCACCCTCAGGGGCACCAGCAGCGCCCCATGCCCTTCCTCTCCCACATGAGCACAGCCTGTATCCCACTGTGTCCTATTCCCCTTGTACCCCAGTCCATCCTGCCCCATGGATCCCCAAAGTATGCCCCTATACACTCCCAAATACCCTGCTGCTTCCTGTCCCCCTGTCCCTCATACCCAGCCCCACATCTCCTATACCCTGCTGTGTCCTGCCCCATGGACCCACAAACGGTGTCCCTATGTACCCCCCAACCCCTGCTCTGCTCCAACCTGCCCCATATCCCTTAAAACCCTGCTCCATTCTGCCCCTGTGTACCCCCATATCCTGCCCCATCCCACTCGACTTCCTTCCAAACCCTGCCCCTATGTACCCCCATACTTGGCTCCATCCAACCCTACATCCTTGCAGACGCCACTCCATCCCACCCAGCTCTCCAACCCCTCCAGATTCCTCCAGATCTCCCCAGCTTCCCCTCCTTCCGCGTGTTCCAGTGGCACTTCCCACTCTATTTCTGTCCGGAGCCACCTGTCTTCCCAGAAATAGCCGCGGGCCGAGGTCCGGGGGCGGCCAGAGGCGCCGGAGCAGCTACGGAAATGGGCTTTGCGGGAATCTCACATGGCATTATTCACACATCCCAAAATGGGATCACGGCAGTTCAGGGACAAGTGGGGAAACTGAGGCACAGGGTTCGTGCATGGAAAGCCCCCAGACTCCCCGGGGCTGGGCATCCCGGCTCGGTCAGCCACCGTCTCCCTGCCTGCTGCTCCCGGGGTCACCCCGAAAGCGGCAAATGAGAGGCGGGTTTGGGGGGAGTAGACACAGTGCCCAGGGGGACACTTTGTTGCAAGCAACCCCCAGTCAAAGGGGCCGTGTGTGACACGACTCATAGTCACGGCTGGCGGCACTTAGTCCCTCCCACCCAGCGGGATCCCCGTGTCACAGATGGTGGCACCGTGTCCAGTCGCAGGGTGGCACCGGCTCCCCCGGCCCTCCCCGGTCCCCGTATATCTCTTACCCATCGAGGCGGCCACGGCCACCAGCAGGGTCCCGGCCAGGGGCCAGCCGCTCCCGGGGCCCCCGGGCCCCATCCCGGGGCCGGGCCCGGTGTCCCCGCTCAGAGCTGTCCGGGACAAGGGCGGCGGCTGCGCGGCGGCACCGGGACCGGGGCCGCTCCCGTGGCCGGTCCTGGTGCCGCCCGGTGCCGGTGCCGCGGGGCCGCTCCCTCTGCCGGTGTCTCCCGGTGCCGTTCGGTGCCGGTGCGGGGCCGGCGCAGGCCCGCAGTGACGCCGCAGCCCGGCGGCGCTCGGTTGCTGCCCGGTGTCCTCCCCTCTCCCGTCCCCCCGGCGCCGCCTCCCGCCGCAGCCACCGGCCCCCGCCCGCCCCCACCGGGAGGAGCGACGCCGCTGGCCCCGGGCACTGGCAGGGCCGGGCGGGAATGCGGGGACCAGAGTGTCTCTGGCACTGCCCACCCACCACTGCACCCCCCACCGGAAACCCTTATTTCCCCTCTTCTTGCACCCCATCTCTTCGCTCGTCCTTGCACCACTCCCCGC